TCGTTTAGGTTGGTATCTGGATCTCGATTCAGTTTTTTGTTTCATTCAACGACACTGCTTTTCAAACGCAATCTTGAATGTACTCGTTCATCAGGTGATCGATAAGCAGGCAAACATTATTCTTACTCCTCCGTTGTCTTATGCCACTTAAAAGCTGTAGTATATTAAACTCATATGGTACCGTGTAACTCAAGATCCGCAAACGAAAACGCTTGGCGATTCTCTCACCGTAAAATGTTCATCTCTCAGCATTTGACGTTTCGTAGTTGTTTGTCGGAGATTGTTTGGTTCAAATTCCAGATAATTTAAAGTTGACGAGTCCCAGTATGAACCGCTACTAGGGGCACTTTCCCTTCCATTGCTCTACGAGAAGACGCTTCAATTAGCGGAAAAAACTTAAAAGCGTTGCGAGGAAATTGCGAAGGAGATCAGTGCAGTACCCAACTACCGTATGGATCAATCTTTTTTAAGATTCTTGTTCTGCTTACCACGACAATCCAACCATCCGGATTGTCTATATCCGAAAAAAAAAGTTTGGCTAAAAGGAACGCAACCTAAATATCTCAACAAACTTACTTTTGCCTTCTCAGCTCTCTCCATATGGGTCAAGACCTGCGTCTTATTCTAGAACGAATAACAAAATGGCTATACAGCTGTTTCGAGAAAGGTTGTCGGAAAAAGTGCACGCGACAATCCCGAAAGGTATTGTGGGTGGTTTTGTCTGCCATGTTCTCCAAAGAAATTTGAAAAAATGGCACGAGAGGCCACCGACATATGTTCGCGAGTGCTAATGGAAAGCAACAAAAGTAGGTTCAACAGTAGACTGTTCACAGTCCTCTATTTTCCCGCACTATCGTCGAGATCGAGCGCTTTGCGTTACGGGCTGCCATTTTGCATGAGTGTGAAACCTACTTAGGGGGCGCGAGCGGTTTGGGAGGAAGCGTGAAAAATAGGGGGACTGTAATAACATCACTGCAGCTCGCGTTCAGGAGGCGTGACAGGAATTTCACGCCTTTTACCATTCATTAATTAAGAAACTCCGCTGGTGATGAAAAACATGCCAGACACATTTAGCATCGATTATGCGTGTTTACAAATATCTCCTTTCGAAACAGTGATTTTATAATGTTTCTAGGCCATTCCTCGAAATAAAATCGGCAAACATACGCAAGAAAACATTTTTCTAATCAAATACCAAAAATCCTTCGTGTGTTTGCGCAAGATGTGCCTTGTCGTATGAAAGCGTATTTTTTATGGAAACGTCGACTTGTCAACGACTTGTCAGTGTCGGCACCTTAAACTAAACCCGTTGTCAACGCAAATTAACACCTATTGTCTAATGACCAATCAAACGCCTGCGTTGCTGGTACAACGCGCTCCGTGAACGCGAGCTGCAGTGATGTTATTACAGTCCCTCTATTTTTCTCGCCCCCCCCCCCCCCTCACCCCCTAGAGCTATAATCCCCGACGCCCGACCCCTCGGTACATTTGAAAATCAAGATAGCCGTGACGAAAAGACGCGGTATGTCTAAACTATCTCACGAAAAAATAGGGGACTGTGAACAGTCTAGTTCAACAGCTACAGTCGTTAGGAACAGTGTATTGATCATATCCCATATTACCTTTCGGGATTGTCGCGTGCTCATTTTTTCCGACAACCTTTCTCGAAATAGCTGTAAACTGAAACCATATTCCTGAACTTTGTGTATACAGCTATTTCGAGAAAGGTTGTTGGAAAAAATGTGCACGCCACAATCCCGTAAGGTAATATGAGATATGATCGATACACTGTTCCTGACGACTGTAGCTGTCGAACCTACTTTTGTTGCTTTCTGTTAGCACTCGCAAACACATTTTCATGGCTTTTCGTGCCAATTTTTGTGTCTAGTGCGAAGCACACACACTATGAGAAAACGCTAAAATCCTCTGGTTAGTGCTTCATGTATGGCAAATTATTACGTCATACGAATAAAGTTTCACTGAGGTTTCTCCTACGTGACATATTACATGAAGCATTCTTTAATGGGTACCACGAGGGTAATATCATCGATAATCACTCGTAATTTCTTCGTGACCCGAAATAAACAACCAATGACAATCGGAACCAATCGAATGTGTATTAGTAGAGACGACAATTGCGCCAACACCATGTGCTTTCCACGACAACTCCCGACAACTGCAAGAAAACTCTCTACGACGATTTGCTTTTGTTGCTTTCTTGGACGTGTGTGATACGAGTTGTCCTATCAGTAAGTTACATTTTAGTTTCTTACTTTGTGATGAATTTCTTAAGACGTATTTTCTCAGTATGCCACAGCTTTCGAAATATGTGTCAATCCGGCCGAATGAAAGGTTTCGAAAGGTGCTTCAAAGTTGAAGATCAAGGTACTTGGCGCCGACAGAATCTCCATGCTGCAATTTTGCGACCGCCTGCGAAGAGGATACAAATTAAGCTTTATGAGTCACATTTGGGGAAAGAAAAGCCCGTTATGGGAAATATTGAGCCCCTTTTGGGGATAACAAAGCCCGCTGAGGGATTAAATAAGCCCTGTCAGGGAAATGTAAACGGCAGAAAATCTTTCGCCGCTGAAGGATTTAATGTGAAAATACCTTCATTAGCCAAACATATACGAAAGCTGTGGCGATTTCCTTCCGACAAAGTCATACTAGAACTCGTAATCTTGTTAAATATCACCCAAAGGTCGTTTTTACTGAATCTTTCCATGCGATGGTTAGCACTGATGAGGAGGTGTGCTCGCCGTGTGCGAGAGAATTTGATAGACATTGCAAAGTACAGGAAAAACGTCATAGAGACCGAGTGCCGTCAAGATTACCGATTAAAGAGATTGTGAGCTCCATGAAAAAGAGAAAAGCTAGACGCAAGCTGAAGCGCATTTTCAGGAAATTTACTCCTAAATCTTCAAGTTTGTTCAAGTTTAGCGACTGACTATAAGTTATGGTATGTAATATACGTACACAGATGCGACTGTTTTTTTACCGACTTTGCAAATCTTAAAAGATGGGCAGCAAACAAGTTGTTACAAAATAGTAAACAAGCAAGTATGCATTGTTTAGTTAAGCACAAAACAGTGAAATCATGTAGCTGTACCAAAAGATATTGTGTATCGAAAATGAAGCTTTTGATGTCCGGTGATATCGAGTTAAATCCAGGCCCTGAGCAAAATGTCTGTGATCAAACTGCATTGTCAGTAGGTTTCACCTTATTGTTAAACTATCGATTAGGTCAGCTGGGATTCAGACCTCTTGATAACTTTTTGTATTTCTCATTTACAACTAGTTGCCTTGAAATAAAGTTGTGTTCAATTCATTTCATCGTTACCACTGTGATGTTAAAAATAACAAATTCATAATAGTTAGCACTACTTCCAGAAAAATGTCTGCAATAATTTCAACCACACCCCAAAGCAGACCAACCTCTACTCCTCCTTACTTTTCTATATCACCTTCAACACGTTTGTTAGTTCTAGCCATATTTCTTTGCTAGACCGTTGGGGCTTCACATTATACCCCAGCCTCCACTGCTGTGCTCTGTGGCGGATAAATCCTAATTGCATTCACGAAGACTAACGCAATCCTATATAACCATATACACATTACTCAATTACCCAGCACTAGACACATGTACGCATTGTGGACCTATTTTTTCAAATTTCTCTAAAGAACAGTAAACTCAAAACCACCCATAATGCCTTTCGGGATTGTCGCGAGCACTTTTCCGACAACCTTTCTCGAAATAGCTGTATATAGCGCGCGCGAAATATTTTCTCATCCTTGATGATGCTGTTGATCGGCGAAAGCTTGGATTATGGATTTTACTTTTTAAACAGTAGTTTAAGGCCTCTCTTGAACAGTTTTATATTTTTTAACAATGCTTTTGAAGGACAACATGTACAGATTATTGAAACTGAAAGTTCTTTATGGCGGAGCACTTGTATTTGCAAAAGAAAGACTCAATTATGACTGCCATAACATTTCTTAGTGTATTTACACACCTTACACACAAGAGTGACATAAAAATCGGTTTTTAAGAAGACTATACTACTTGCCTATAAACTTGATCTTGTCATCATATCAGCGTACTCTGAATTCCAACTAGTTAAAAGTTATTGCTCCTGCAGAATTGACTGGACAGTATTTAGAATGTACAGTGTGACCTCACACAATACACTTAAATCAAGGATAGGACCAAAATCTCTTCATCAGCACTTAAGTAACTGTTGTTTAAGAAACGGCTTGGACTAGCCCCCTCGATTTCTTTTTCATCCTGATTTTCACCTGTTTCATGTTTAATCACAAGTACAAAGCGGCCTACCTTAGAAACATCTAAGCTTGTGTCAGCCGCTAGTAAAGCTGCTTCTTGATCTGTATGAGTTGAACGAGAAAAGTCACTGCTGACTGCTAATAGAGAATGAAATAACAAAAAAGGGATTAAGTTCATCTGTTGTGAATCTACTGTGCCCGAAAATGATCACAGTAAATGATTTATAGCCTGTGTACAGCCACTCTCTTCGCTCAGAAAAAAATCAGGAAAGCTTCGATTTTTTCCCGAGGAGACGGGGGCTGTACACAGGTTGATAAATTACTGCACTGCTTGTAAACAGTGAAATTCAACAAAGAGACAATACTGTTCATTTAATGACCACAATATATCTATTCCACTTCTCTTATGAAAGTGTATCGTATGTCGATTAATTGTTTTAATGCACTATTATTTTTCTGTCTGTTTGCGAAAACGTTTTTAGGAAAGTAACTATATGCGCTCGATAAGCTGACCACCGTTACATAATGGACCACGACTGCTGCTGTGAAAATGTAACAATGTCGTAAGAAACAAAGAGCAACGTAATCAGGGGTGCAGCGGAACAGATAACCAGTCAATGTTGGCCGAACGTAAGCAAATGGTATTAATCACTTCTTTTGGATTTGATTTCAGCTTTCAATTGTCTGAGCCTAAACTGCAGACAGTCAATAGCATACAAAGAGCTTCCAAACTCACATGATTTTTCCATTAAAATCTTCTTGCAAATCCGGTAGTTTTCATCTTCAATCGTTGTCTTCAACCTGACATTCATCAAGTTCAGTTTCTTCTTTATGTCATCTGTCACAAGGTATCTCTCAGCAACGTCATTAAGTTGACCAGACTGATAATCACTCCACAAACGTTCAAGACTCTCCAGGGAGGGGCACTGTAAAGACATTTCTATACATCCCAAGCCCACAGATTTCAAGGCCAAGTTGTACGTCTGGTGTATATGTTCTATCAGGCCAGACACCCCCTCTGTGGTTGAAATGTTACAAAATCGGATGTACACTTGAATTTGTCGCTCTAGAGTTTCACGGACTATTTTGCTCTGTTCATCATTCAGTTCTTGAAAAGTGTGCTTTGTAGTAATTTCTGAAACAAAGAAAATGCCCCGAGAAATAAATTTCTTTATTAACGAAACACAAAATATCACGAGAAACGTATTCTAGACTACTATACATCGTTCGAAAGTCAATACCTTGCATTGGTCACCAGAGTTGTAACCTATAACAAAAAGCCGACATTTCGCGACGACACCGCTCGTTTCTATACGAAATGACGTCTGAGGAAACGAACGAGCACAGAAATTCCATACTCATGAAGTGTCACGGCAGTGACAAGTCGGCTGTTTTCTAAGGCTACCAGATTTGAAGCATTCTCGAACACAGGATAAAATCTGGTGTTAAACCTGAGTTGATTATTAAAGTGGGTAATGAATTACACTACTACAGTGTAACGATAACAAGTTCTGTGAAAAAAAAGCACCTTTGGGTAATACCCTTTATAGATGTACTAGTAGGCAATAGCAAGGAAAACAAATCATGTTATAGTTTACCTGGATCACCAGAAGATTCTGAATTTTTACGCTTTCGGCTGTTTTGTGACTGAGAGACCGTGAATATTTTGGTTTGATTTCCTGATGCAGCTTCAGCTTTCTTCACACAGTTACTATTAACGGAAGTTTCTGAAACGAGCTTCTCGCCAACAGGGGAGTACATTCTTGGCTTACTGTCGTTTTCCATCAAAGGCTCTGCGAAAACAAGCCATGGTTACAAAAAATAATTTCAATGAAACAAAAGGCTCAGCCAGTTCCAAATGTGCCCTTTCCTCCCTGGACATGGTTAGGCATTATCAGTTTGTGAGTTTCCAGGCTGTGGAATATTTTCATCAAAGGTCTTGGGTCTGCCAAGAAGTGAGGAATTTTTTGTTGAGTAATTAATTTCACAATTTCGACTGCTTCAGTTTAAACATAGGCAAAAAAAAAAACATTAAAACGTTTAAGCAACGAGGTAGCGCGATCGATTGATCATAAATAATGGATATGTTTTAATCACACTTTCCAGATGGCTCGATAGATAATAAGGATAAGCACCGTGTCTTACTATATTTAGTAGTAAAATAGTTTATCCATTCAGTCCGGCAAATGTGAAGTCCAACGTTTAAACCACACCTTATACATGTATCAATGACGTGTGTAAACTTCATGTGTACTTACGCATGTACACACGTATGTAACACACAGAATCCCTTTTGCCTATGAACGCCCGTTCATAGGCAACATCACCCTCGATTTCATTGATTATAAGTCTGCCACAATACCTTTATGATCCGCTGCCATGCTCTCAGTCATCTGAAAAGCCTGGCGCTTTGTTTCCAAGGAGTTCGCGGCCTTTAAAGAATCCGCTTCTGTGAAACAAAAAATTGAACGAAAACAGGCGGTGATTACGGTAGAACCTCAATTCAACGAAGTGCCAAGGGACTGGGGAAATGTGTTCGTGGTATACGAAACACCTCAATTTTTACGAATTATCGAAAAAAAAAACCAAAATGTTCGTTGTATCGAGGTATAGTTAATAATTAATTTACAATACCCAGCAACCCTGGATCTGAACAATGTCTCAGTACCGAGCTGTATACAGAACAAGCCTTTATTTTAAGCTTCCTAAAAAATAATGTATATATGTTTTAGTAACCCATTCACATCTCCACCACCCATAACCACCCGTGTGGGACCACGTCCCATGTAACGCTAAAACCTTTTGATGGTCACAGACAACTGTGACCCTTAAATTTGGTGGAGACCCTTATTCTACACATCACAGGTCTTTTCATGCATTTAAATCCACTTTGTTAACTTCCAGTACAATTTTAAAAGAAGGGCACAACACATTTAAGCTTAAGAAGAAATAGGAATTCAGAGTCAATTCGATGGTAAAAACTAATATCATTCCAAAACGGTTCCTACTCGGTTATACAGTCAGTTCTTTCAAGCTTTGAGGTGCATTATTATAAAAGAAAAGCAGGCATCTCAAAATTTCAAGTAGCCAATTTTATTTTTTACATGATTGTCAGTGCCCAACTCAAAACTGACTGTCTTTGTATGGTTCCTTCAGTAGCATTTTAAATCAGAAAACAACCCTGGAAGGTGATTTGCTAGGAAAGTAATCGTTTAGGATTGTAAAGGGGTATATTTCTTACCATGACTCATTTTCCACATTCTGTTCACAAGGGCTTCGCATTGCTCCTTCCACCTGTACATCTCCCCATAACAAGCTCTCAGTGATTTAATCTCTTCCAGCCGCATACGATGCCTGGTACGAACAGCTTCTATTGCTTTTGCCCATTTTCCAGGATCAGCTGAATTCACGATGCATGTAAAACCAATCAAAACATTTTCTAATGCTTTGGCAAATCCTGACCTACTACTAACAAGAATGGGTAAACCTGCAGACAAGGCCTCAAGTGCAACAAGACCAAATCCTTCTGATTTTGATGGCATGATGGCAAGGTCAGCTTCGCACAACAAATCTTTCAGTCTGTCTCTACTTTGTATAAATTTTCTAACAGTCAACTGTGCTTCTGCAATACCACGCTGTAGAAGTTTTTCTCTAACTTCTTCTTCCTTTCCTTCAGGTGCTCCGACAAAGATTAGATGATAAGGTTTGTTTTTTAACCGTTGATCAGTAAATGCCTTAGCAGCAATGTTGTATCCTTTGAGTTCAAAGTCCTCATCATCCCCACGACCAAATAACAACACTTTGAATTCACCATCCTCGTTAGGATCTTGTTTTGTAACTAGTTCCCCAAACTCCCTTTGAAAAAGACCTGGAGTAATGGTCAAAACGTCTTGATCTGTCTTGCATCGCTGTAAATATGAAGTGTATGCTTCTTTCAGTTTGGGTCCCACGGGCACAACAAGATCAGCAAGTTTGCAAAGTTCAACTTCTGATTTGTGTTTTGTTTCACCTTTTGAAATGGGGTCAGTGTAGCATTTGTATCTGCTTAGGTCCTCTGGAGCAGTGTGAACCACTTGTACCCACTTACAATTTGGAAATTGAGCAGAGTCTCTAATGAATTGAACTTGCCGACCAAGTTTAACACCATGACCAACAACGATGTCCATGACATGATCCTTGGGTGGTGAGCTTAACCAATCAAGACGATCATACGCTGCACGTTCTTTTGCCTCAACAATGGTGATTCCATTACTATCTGCTTCTCTTATTTCTTCAGTGTTACAAGCTCCCTCTGGGACTAGCAAAGAAACCTTCACTGCCGAATGATTTGAAAGGTGAATAGCAAGCTCTCTGTTTATTGTTGACAACCCACCAGCAGATGACCTCCACTCACCACCAAGAAGAGTAACATGCAACAGTGGATCACTGGTCTCAGAATAGCAAGCCTACAAAAACAATAGCAATAAAATTGAATAGTTAGGAGATACAAGACCAAAAGACATAGCTGGTTTAGTAACTGTCAACTGTTAATATACATATATAAGTTGATGGGGATAGAATAGCCACTTTTTCACTCCATTTTCCCTACCACAGTAACACATATTAGTGTCTTTAGAAACAAATCCCTCCAATCAAATAGGAATTAATCAGGCATATCCACAAAATAATATTCTCAAATTTTATATTATTAATCAAACAAACAAATGCCCCAAATGTAATGTCCACCATTCCTGATTTTCACCTCGCCCATGAGCCAAAAGGACAAAATCACACCATCATAGTTTTCTGTTTTCTTGATGAAAGCAGTTTTTACACAGCATCTGGCAACTTTCAATGTTTATTTTTGGGACACATTACCAAATAATAATAAAGTTCTCTTCAAAGGCCATGAAATAACACTACATATATAGTGTAATAGGATTAAAATGAAGCTAATTATAAAAAGAATTAAGAAAGAAGGAACGAACCCTTGGATTGTCCAGACTGCATTCTGCTTTCATAGTCTCAGGCTGGCTGGATGAGGCAGCCATGGCTGATGAAGGGGAAAATACTTGAAATTAAAATGACTTTCCTAGTAGTAACAATTAGTCCTAATACTTGATGTAGCTGTGACTTTCATCACAAAGTCAACCAATTTTTTTTAATTCTAAACATTCGATGTTTAGCAGAATCTGGTTATCATTGCTTTCAAAGTACAATCACACTGCCAGCCACACATTATCAGATATGTGGCTCTCTGCTGTCAGTGCCGTAATTAAGCAGAGGTCATGTTATCTTTTAATAATAAATTATAATAATTATCAAGACATAATAGTCATCATCTCCATCATTTGTAAAGCACATTTTCTATACAATAACATGCAAATGTGCTTCAAAATTGACAGAGCTAATTAAATATTGTCCACATGTAGGGCCGTCCTTAACTCCTGCATTATATGATCTTTCTCTAAGACAAAAACTTCCATCATAATGGAAGCTGATTGAAAAATGTCATTTATTTAACACGATAAATCATCAAAACATAAGATTGCTTCCCAGTTCCCTTCTGCCTTAAGTAACAGGTACAGGTACATTTCTATACAGCAAATTAAATTAATGGAATGATTATGATAACTCTAGATTAGTCTCTTGATAAAAATAATCAGAGCAATCAAACAGGTCAGGATTTACAGCTGTTTTTTTTTTCTTGGAATTACTGAGTAAAACAGACCTCTTTTTAAATAGAGGGGAAGAGAGAGGAGGAGAGGGGGGGGGGTGGGGGAAGAACACTTATATATATAGGTCATTTAAGCCCCTGATTTTGGTTGTTCTCATGTATTTTCCGCATGTGTGATATGTTATAATAAAGTTAAGTTAAGTTAAGATAAACTATTTGCCAAAAAAAACAACAACAACAACAACAATAACAAGAAAAACCAAGGTTATTAGTTGTAGTAAAGACATCAATACTCCATACTTAAAATGCTTTACATCTTGTTATAAAACTAGTTCTAATTCCCTCAGATTTTCATATTAATTAATTGGCCATGAACTTGAGTGATCTAAATCAAGAGTGGAGACTGAAATTCTCAATAAACTAAAAGCCAGACTCTTGCCTGGCTCACCGTTTTGGGAGTGGGGGTGATGGCAAAGAGACGGTGACATTTCAGACTACCCCTCATAACCATGTGGGCACATTTTTTTCACTCACTTTGTAGGGAGGGAGTTGTTGGGGGTTGTGGCTATAGATACAAGAACATGGGGGAACCAATTCACAGCTACATGAAAATGCACATGCAGAAATGGTAGCAACGTAGACGAACCCAAGGGTAGGACAATGGGCAAGCACCTTTCAATAGTCTGGCTGACGTGTTAACTGAGAGCAGTGAGTGTCCGACAAGATTGATTGATTTGATATACAAATCAGTTGTATTTGTATGTTGATCTGCATGGATGCTGATTTTTTTTTCGCTTGTTAGAAAATTTGTGTAAGAGAGGTGGTGGCAGAAAATTAATGCAGACAGAAGTTTCTAGTCATTATCATAATATCATAGGATTTAAAGTAACAATGACTGTACTGCATGTTTGTGCCTTTGCTGTGGTTTCCCTTTATACATGTATGTGGCTGCCAATATGGTGGAACAGGTAGAGGGGAATGAAATTTATTGTAAGGTCTCACAGCCTTTTCAATCATGGGTGCCTAAAGGCATGCTCACATAGAACCTTTCGAAATTTAGAAGCTCTGAAACGCAATTTTCAGCCCAACTGAGGGAAATAAATAGGATGCTGTTGATAACTGTTTTTAATTTACATTTTTGTACGATATCATTTCCTGGATTTTCCGTAACGAAAAAGAGCTATTGAGTTAGGTTACTTACAGTTCCCCAAGCTTCCTTATCAGCAAAAACTGCCATAAGGCATATTAATAAACAGGAAAGAGTTGCCCATGTCTGTAAGGCTGTGGAGTGCTGGTAACAAGCTGTAGGCCACAGTTGTTCAAGGTCTGATAGTGTTATCAATCAATGCAACCATCAAGTAGATTAGCCTGAATTGTATCCAATTACTTTGAGTAATTATTACTCCGTCAGTAACATCTGAATCGACTGGCAGTTAATGCCGTCCAGTGACGTCACTACTCCTTTGCTTTCATTCATGCAAAAAGTAAAACACGATTTTCAACTGGCAAACCAAGAAATATCATTTTGAAAAGTCTGCATGATACAAAACAGCTGAGAGAAATGCTTTACTCTTTTCGATCGTAACTTATGTTTGACGTTCAAACTATCAACTGCATGCAGTACTCTGAACTGGTTGTAATTCAAACTCTGTCGCAATCAGTAAATGAAATAAATACACACACGGAACACTTACCGTATTTATTCGAGTAAGTGCTCAACCTCGAATTAGCGCCCACCTCGAATAAGCGCCCATCCTAAAGGCAGAAAAAGATAATAAGTGCCCAGCCTCAAATAAGCGCCCACCCCCTCCTCCTCCTAATCAAACTCAAATAAGTGCTCACCCCCACCCCAACCACTTGAGTGAATAAATTCTAACACGAGACTTCCCCGAGGACGGAGTTTTCTTTAGAGTATTTTACAAAAACCTTGCTTTGTTACTTCTTCGCGTTTTGTTATTAGCATTTATTAATTTGTTGCAAAATACACATACTTCACTTGCTGAAAATGGTGAAAATTTAATAAGCGCCCAGCCTCGAATAAGCGCCCACCTCAAATAAGCGCCCACTCTCAAGGTCCAAAAATTTAATAAGCACCCAGGGCGGTTAATTGAATAAATACTGTAGTTCAAAAACGCATCAATTTCCTTTAATTGAAAAGAATTTTGGTCCTTAACGAAGGAAAAAGAAAACAAGGAAACAAGAAAGAAAAGCTAACAGAATCATTACACTTGACAGTGAATAGCAAAAGGTTGAATGACAACATGACATATTGGTCTCAGAAACTTTGCATTAAGAAAATCACTGCAGAAACCACAAAGCAGCTCTAAATGAAAAACCTACCGACTCGATCTCCGAAATGATTCGTCATTCACAGTTCAATTTAGCAATTCAGTTTCGAAGACCAGGGCAATTTTGCAGTTTACAATAAAGATTATCAAGATGTTTGAACTCAATGCAAACATGCCACTGATGTAATCTGCTGAATATCAAGCAAAAATCCTGCAAAAATTTCACATAATTATACATAATTATGCGAATGTTTAGACAATCAACCAATCAAAATCACTACCCGGTTTTCGGGAAGTAGTGACATTACCGGATGGCATTAACGGCTAGTCGATTCAGATGTTGCTGAGAGGAGAAAATGACTTGAAGCAATCGAATGAAATTCAGCCTACCAGTAGATATGTTTTAAGGAAACCAAAGGGCGTTCAAAAGGTGGATTCATACAATTATATACTATACAAGGTGCAACCACCTGAAGTACACACACCTCTCTTTCCATGTGTGATATTGTTCCATTATTGTTTACTATACTATACAAGGTGTAACCACCTCAAACACACATCTCTCTTTCCATGTGTGATGTTCCATTACTGTTTACTGCAGGTGCCAGTTGTTCAAAAGGTGGATAATGCCATATCCATCCAGACAGAACGTTATCCAATGGATAGTGCAATTAGGTTTCCTAATAAATACTTATGCACTCAATCCAGTGAATAACGTAATTCATCTTTTGAAAAACCAGGAGTAGTTGTGCAATACATGAGTTACAATGATGGTAGGCAAGTTTGCGTGTACATGTTGACAAATAATAATTATTAGGACGTACTAATTGTCCCCTGTGAATAAATTAATCTTTTACTAAAAGAATGCATCAGCTGGGTTTAATTGTTTTTTTAAAATGAACATACTGAACCAAGGTCAACTGAGCCCCTATAGGTTGCCCCTCCCAAAAGACTGACACCTGCAGGCCCCAGCTCCCTGAATTCCCCCTCCCCCCTCCCTTATATACCATATTCTTTGGGAAATAAAAGAGAAATAAAGAAACAAATAAAAATTTTGGTCCTGAAAAAAGTTAATGAAAGAATCCACATACCAAGCGAGAAATGTTTGGTTATCCAAACTTATGGCATTAGACATTAGATGAAATAACTTTTCAATGGGGGCAACTCACAAGATAAACCCTCCCTTCAACAGCCCGTGAATCAGTTCAACCCGGAGGAAGTTGGGAAGCGAGTCAGTTGGAAAGAGACCAGTGTGTTGTCGCATTTTGCAAACTCTACGTTTTTTTGTCGAAATGATCTGGCCTCCATTGAATGCACCTGAATAATTCTTTCTAAAATGTTAGCTCACTAGTGGAGGCCTTTAAAGCCGGAAGTGCATTGAGTCGATCGTCATGAACATTAACATTTACACTAATTCATCTGATCTCGGTTACTGCTGGTTAATGTTATATATACAGTTACTAAAAAGAACAGTTCACAAACATTT